GGGACAACCCCAAGACTCTGAGTTCAAATCTCATTACTGGCACAAAATAATGAGATTTCTTTCGAAAAGCAAAAACCACTGTCTCTCATGAATTGCAAAGTTATGTTTATTTTCCTGATCTAAGGATGGCTGATGGCTAAGTCACACATATTTAGGGGTCCCCTGCCCAACAAATATTAGGAAGCAAAGTGAGTAGAGTGTGGTTTCTGTGCCAGTCCTGGGATTTGAATTCAGGGCTTGGGTGCTGTCCCTGAATACTTTATTTATTTTTTTTCTTTTCAAGACTAGTGCTCTACCACTAGAGCCACAGTTCCACCTCTGGATTTTTGGTAAGTTATTGGAAATAAGAATCTCACAGACTTCTCTGCCTGGACTGGCTTTGAACCTTGATCCTTAGATCTCAACTTCCTGAGTAGCTAGGATTTACAGGCATGAGCCATGGGTGCTAGGCTGTAAGTACAGCTTTCTTTTCTTTTCTTTTTTTAACATTTCACTCTGTGATTGGCAAAACATTCTCAGTCTTCCTTAGAAGCATTCAAAAAATGCAACTCTGCAATGGAAGAGATAAATAAATATAGTGCCTTGGGATAAAGTCCTTTAAACAGATTCCAAATGGCTCAGTGACCTGACATATTTTTAAAAAGCTAATAGGAAAGCCAACTAGTGACCAGAGGGTGAGTACCTAGAAAGAACTAGAGAAGAAAGGGGGTGAGGGCTTTGTGGAGCCCAGGATCCAGAGCGACTAAGGGGACTGGGCTACTCTACCCATAATGCCTTGGGGAGAGGGGCTCATGGAGTGAGCAGAAACAGATTGTGGGTCTATACTATGTGATCCTAAGCCAGAACTGACCTTGTTCCTTCCTTCCTTCCTTCCTTCCTTCCTTCCTTCCTTCCTTCCTTCCTTCCTTCCTTCCTTCCTTCCTTCCCTCCCTTTCTCTCTCTTTTTCTTTCTTCTTTTCTCTTGCTTTTTTCTTCCTTCCTTTGTCTTCCTTCCTTCTTTCTTTTTTCTTTCTCTCTTTCCTTTTTCTTCTTTATTTGTCAGTCCTGGGGCTTGAACTCAGGGCCTAGGGGCTGTCTGAGCTTCTATTTTTTTTTTTGGGTCCGGTCGTGGGGCCTGAACTCTGGGCCTGAGCGCTGTCCCTCAGCTCTTCAGCTCAAGGCTAGTGCTCTACCACTTGAGCCACAGCACCACTTCCGGCTTTTTTCTTTTTGCTTATGTGGTGCTGAGGAATCGAACCCAGGGCCTCGAGCATGCAAGGCAAGCGCTCCACCACTGAGCCACCTTCCCAGCCTGTCTGAGCTTCTTTTGTTGAAGACTAGAACTCTATCACCTGAGCCACAGCTATACTCCCAGCTTTTTTTTTTTTTTATATATATAGATTATTGGAGATAAGAGTCTCACAAACTTTCCTGCCTTGGCTGGCTTTGAACTAAGATCCTCAGATCTCAGCCACCTGAGTAGCTAGGATTAGAGTTGTGAACCACTGGCACCAATCATCTCTCTTTGTTTTTTTGGGGGGGGAGAGTCCGGTCGTGGGGCCTGAACTCTGGGCCTGGGCGCTGTCCCTCAGCTCTTCAGCTCAAGGCTAGCACTCTACCACTTGAGCCACAGCGCCACTTCCGGCTTTTTTCTTTTTGCTTATTTGGTGCTGAGGAATTGAGCCCAGGGCCTCATGCATGCAAGGCAAGCGCTCTACCGCTGAGCCAGCTTCCCAGCTCCCTCTCTTTCTTTTTTATTTCTCTCTTCTCTCTTTCTCTTTTCTCTGTATCTAGCTCTCTGCTTCTCTGTGTCTCTGTCTTCAGTCTCTCTTTCATGGATTTGGACTCAGGATCTCAGACTCTTGTTTCGTCTTTTCCTTCAAAGTTGTACTTCTGCCACTTGGGCCTCACCTCCACTTCTGACTTCTGGCTCATTGGAGATACGAATCTCTCTGATTTGTTTTCCCTAACTGACTTAGAACCATGATCCTCAGATCTTAGCCTGCTGAATTGCTATGATTACAGGTGTGAGCCACCAGCACTCAGCCTATGCCAAGATTTCTAGAAGTTTGCCATTCTGGAACCGTGGAGCTCAACAGCCAGGACCTCATTACACTTAAGTGTAATCGACTGAAATGATATGAAATACCCAGTTTCTCATTGCCAGTGGCTAAAGACATTTCAAGCATTCAGCAACTGCAGTGGCCAGAGGTTCCCATATTGGGTTGCAGAAATGATACATCATCATCACAGACAGAGAGCTCCTGGGTAGCAAGACACTAGAGCAGTATTCAAATGAGACAAAGGGTAGGTGAGGCTCAGTGGCAGACCACTTGCCTCACTTATGCCAGGGCCCGTGGCCCATCCCCAGCACCTAAACCAAAACCCAAACCGAAACAAAACCTAAGAAGGATCATTACCCACGATCCCCAGCACAGCTACTTACAAAGGACAAATGACAAATTAGCTAACTTCACAGGACCTATGCCCCCTGTCGAAAAGTTAGGAGTAATCAGCTGGGCACTGATGCTCATGCCTGTAATCCTAGTTGTTCAGGAAGCTGAGAGCTGAAGATCACAATTTAAAGGCAACCTAGGCAGGAAAATATATGAGAATCTCCAATTAACCACCAAAAAAAGGCAGAAGTGGAGCTGTGGCTCAAGTGGTAGAATGACAGCTATGTGTGGAAAAAGCAGAGAGTATGAGGCCCTGAGTTCAAGTCCTAGTACTGGACAAAAATAAATTTTAAAAAATGCAAGTAATTACCTCTCTTTAAGAGGTGAGGTGAGAGAACCCTATTATGTAATATACCAATGTCACAGAGGTAATACTTGGCTCATCACAACAGAATTAATCATTGCCACCTATCTTGGTCTCATGATACATATAATACATAGTAATATTAGAGTATGGAATAACAAAACACAATGTAAGAGGCAACCCATTTTTGTTATATGGAGAGATCACTTTCATTTAGCTAGGCATAGTGACATACACCTATAATCCCAGCACTTGGGGGGCTGAGGCAGGACAAATGAAAGTTGGAGGCCAATCTGAGCCACATATACCCAGTTTCAAGCCAGTCAGCCTTCATAGTGAGACCCTCATCTCAAAAAAGAGAAAAAAATAGGAGGGGCTGGATATGCACCGCATATAAATCCCAGCTACAGTCGGGAGGTAGAGGGAGGAGGATGCCCTTGGTGAGGCTAGAGACTTTCTCTGAACACAGTAATAAGCAAAAGGGCTGGGAGTATTGCCAAGGGGTAGAGCACTCAACTATCAAACAGAATGAGAGAGAAAGACAGAGAGAGAAACAGAGACAGAGAGAGGAAGGAAGGAGGGAAAGAAGGAAGGAAGAAAGAAGGAAGAAAGAGGAAGAAGGGGAAGGGAAGGAGGGAAGGAGGGAAAGAGGAAGAAAGGAAGGAAGGAAAGAAACATAAACCCATAGCAGTCATAAATCCATAGTATTTACATTTCATGAAAGATTCAAGTAAGTGATCTTTAGAAAGTGGCAAAGGAAGGGTGAGGCATCCATGTAAAGGAGCAGCTGTATTTATTGGAGGAGCAGTATTTATTGGAGGAACAGGACTCGGTTCATTTCAGACTATCTAGAAACTAGCTGTAAGGCAGGGGCACCTCCAGATCGCTGTCATAGCGTCTTCCAGTGAATCGACCTTCCTGCCTCCCAACTATGCTTAGACACCTGGAGAGAAACAGAATTGAATGCCTTCTAAGGAAAAATAACAATTAAGAGTAACAAATCCACAGATGGAAGTGTAAGGAAGCCTGAGTGCCCAAAGTGCTTCCAAGCTTTAGGTTTTGTTGTTGTTGTTGTTGTGTGTGTGTGTGTGTGTGTGTGTGTGTGTGTGAGTGTGTGGGTGTGGGTGTGTACGTTAGTCCTGGAACTTGAACTCAGGGCCTGGAAGCTGTCCCTGAACTTCTTTTGGTCAAGGCTAGTGCTCTACCTCTTGAACCACAGCTCCACTTCCAGGTTTTGGTGGTTCATTGCAGATAAGAGTCTTAGGACTTTCCTACCTAGGCTGGCTTCAAACTTCAATCATCATATCTCAGTCTCCTGAGTAGCTAGGAGCACAGGCAGGAGCCACCAGCACTTGGCTTGGTGTAAAGTTTTTTTGTCTAGATTCAGTTATTGGAATGTGGTATCTAGGTCATTTAGTACTATTTGTTGGAAATACCATCCTTTCCCTCATTATATGATGTTTGCTCCTTTATCAAAGATCGATTAGCTTTATTTATGTGGGCCTACTTGTCTGTTCTCTGCCAGCAACTAGTTGTCTATTGTTTTGCTATATACTGTCTTGATTACTGTAGGTTTTTTTTTTTATAGGACTTGACATTAGAGAGTGTCTATCAATCAATCAAATTTTTCTGCTCCTTTAAGATTTTTTTTAATTTTTCATTTTTTGTGTACTGAGGCTTGAGCTCAGGACTTGGCCACTGTCCCTTAGCTTTTTCTGCTCAAGGCTGGCACTCTACCACTTGAGCCACATCTCTGCTTCTGGCTTTTTAGCAATTAAGTGAAGATAAGAGTCTCACAGACTTTCCTTCCTGCCTGGCTGGCTTTGAACCAAAATCCTCAGATCTCAGTATCTTGAGTAACTAGGATCATAGACATACGCCACTAGTGCTCAGTTCTTGGCTTAATTTTAATAAAAAGGTAATATAAGCATATTCTGTGATCAATGGTTTATTGTTAAACTTTCAATAGCATTGATTCTTTTAAGTTAGCCCAAATACACTCTAATAAACATTGAAATATGCCACCACGGCTATCTTGTTGAATTTTTGGCTGATAGAACTTATTGATTTCAAGAAGGTATATGAATCAGAAGTTTTGAAAAGGGAATTGTACAAATATTTGGCTAGAGTGACATCATGAATCAGGAATTCCATTGTCGTATCCAAAACTTTAGTAATAATTAACTAAAAGAATTTTAGTTAAAAAAGAACACATCTTTACTGACACCGCTCTGCAGCTTTCCCATGAAATCAATGTGTACCTTAGACAGCTCCATGCCTGGCCCACACTGTCTGCAGAGGACACAGTTTCCAGACCGGTCCTTGAATTCCTGCTGTCTACAGTCTCCGGTTTCACTGAGCACTTTGCAGGACTAGAAAAAAAAAAATGGTTGAACAAAAATGTTATCTTCAAGCTGGTGCCAGTCGAACTAGGAATGCCTGAACAGCACTGCTGAGGATAATTTCGTTTCCCAAATGAAAGCTCAAAATCCTCAGAAATTCTGCGTCATGCTTATAGTAATGAGAAGTCATTCCCTACAAACCATTTTCACTTTCAATAGGAAGATTTATGAGGATATTACCTTTTCTTCAAAGAGTTTTAGAATCTATTGGGCAGCTGAGAGGAAGAATTCAAGGTGGGTTTAAGGCTAAAAAATTCTTTGGGGTAAAAATTCCAATAATCTCTCTCTCTCTCTCTCTCTCCCCTCAGCCTTCTCTCCTTTTTCCTCCTCCCTCCCTCCACCCCCTTTTCCTCTCTCTTTTCTTTATAGTACTGGGGCTTGAAGTTAGAACCTAGTATTTTTTTTAAAGGTTTTTGCTCAAGGCTAATGCTCTACCACTTGGGCCACAGAAATCTACTTCTAGCTTTTTGCTGGTTAATTGGAGATAAAAGTCTCACAGACTTTTCTGCCTGGGCTGATTTTGAGCCATAAACCTTAAATCTCAGCCTCCGATAAGCTAGGAATTGAGATATAAATTAGAATTCATGAGCTAGAACTTAGCACCTAGTATGTGTTGTGATAAGATGTATGCCTTAAGAACTGAAGATAGTGTTATTATCTTAACATTATAACTAATATGACATCACTCCAGCTTAAATAAAATAAGTGGCAACACTTGGTACCCACCGTATGGCCCAGCAGAACTCTCTTACTTATTAATTAAATGCATAGTTGATCGAGTGCAATTTGAAAGAAATAAAACATAGTGTAGGATCATCAAAAGAAAAGAGTCTTAAGCCAGGCACTGGTGGCTCACACCTGTAATCCTAGCTACTCAGGAGGCTGAGATCTGAGGATTGCAGTTCAGAGCGATGGTAGGGGGAAAAATGAGAACATTAAAAAATTCATTAAGAGAAAAAAGTCTAGATATATTTACATGAATTCTTTCACCATCCCCTTATGAAAGAAAAGACACGTTTACTTACCAGACAATCTAGCAAAAGCACAATGGAGAAGAATGCTTTCTGATATCCTTGGAATACTTGGAAAGCCATGGTGCTTGTCAGGTATGTTTGTCCCTGAGGAGTTCTAAATCAAAGCAAGAAGGAAGAGATGGTTCATTTCAAAACTTCAATGACCATGAAATGAATTTACTATAGAATGTCTATCATTTTCTGTGTATGTGTGTGCCAGTACTGGAACTTGAATTCAGGGCCTGAATTTTGTCCCTTAGCTTTCTTGTTCAAGGCTGGCACGCTACACTTGACCAGAGCACCATTTCCAGATTTTGAATGATTAATTGGAGTTAAGAGTTAGGCATGAACCACTTGCTGATCAGTTCTGTTTACAATTTTCTATATATACACAAGATACTAAATATTATTTATGTTGGAAAGGGAGCCTTTTTTAAGAAGCTACCATAGACAATATGTAATCTTAAAAATTTCAAGTGAGAACTGATATTCTCCTCAAGTATACCTTATATCTCCTGCTGTCTCTGAATTCCCAGGGAATACCAGCCTTGATTTTCTACCCCAGTCTTTACAGTGTCTGGTCTTCAGCCAGAAAAGACTCCCACCTAATCAATGACCTAGAAATTTCCCATTTATAGGATCAGGCAAGATAATCAAGAAATAGCAAGTTGAAAAGTACTAAAACAACCGAAAACCACTCTGAGCTATGTACTGTTTGTAGCATGCTGACTCGCTTAATCCTTGCCACTCATTTAGGTCAATATAATATACCATTGTCTCCACTTTAGAGATGGGTAAAGGGACGCCAAGAAATCCAAGAGGGCCAAGAAACATGCCCAGATTACCCAGCTCATAAGAGGCAGAGCTGGATGCACACAGTAGCCCGCTTTCGGATTCCTGTGTTAGGTCTACTATGTCATATTTACCCTGAAGCACTCTGTGAGATGTTCAGTCAAAATATTAGGCTTGCCAGGCAGGTGATGGTGGCTCACGCCTGTAATCCTAGCTCCTCAGGAAGCTGAGATCTGAGGATCACAATTCAGTCAGCCCAGACAGCAAAGTCTATGAGACTCTCTCCATATAACCATCAAAAAACCAGAAGTGGAGCTATGGCTCAAGGGGTATGATACTAGTCTTGTAAAACAAAACAAAACAAAACCCCACACAGAAGCAGCACTTAGACCCTGAGTTCAAGACCCAGGACTGGCACAAAAAGAAAACAAATTAGGCTTGCCAAAGGTGGTAGAGCCCCAGGCTTGAGTGAAAAAGCCAAGTGAAAGCTCATAGCCCTGAGGTCAAGTCCCAGAAATTGCCCCCCAAAAGTAAACAAATCTATGCTTGGAGACTAGAGCTTCCTCTTCATTCAGGAGCAGACAGCTAAGGTTTGGCATTTGTGAACTTGGCCTCAAAGTAACATAGGGTCAATTGTTCATTAGCAGAAAAATAAGCATGCTTGTGTGTGTGTATGTGGTGGGGGGGGGGGGGGGGAGGATTGGTGCAGGTCCTAGGGCCTGGTTTTTTTTGCTCAAGGCTAGAGCTCTTCCACTTGAACCACAACTCCACTTCTGGCTGTTTTGGGGGGGGTTTTTGGTGGTCAATTGGAGATTAGAGTCTCACAGACATTCCTGCCTAGGCTAGTTTCAAACCACAATCCTCAGATCTTAGCCTTCTGAGCACCTAGGATTTTAGGCATGAGCCACCAGGTGCTTGGCTAAGCATTTGTTTGAAAACACCAAAAAGTCACTAACAAGTGAGCAGTGGAGGGTCCTGCTTCAACATTTCAGAAAAATATAAACCTAGTCTTTCAGTTGTCATCAAGAATGATATAGGAATGCAGATCACTGATCTCTTGTTTATTTTTACAAATACACATATGACCAAGAGAAGAGGTTTTTATTGTTTGTTTTTTTTTTAAATGAGGCTTTATCTGGTGGACCTGTCTAACATGTAGAGAAATAGAGAGAAAAATGCTTGGTACTTGGTTTATGTGTCAGTCCTGTGGCTTGAACTCAGGGCCTGAGCACTGTCCCTTAGTATTTCTGCTCAAGGCTGGCATTCAATCACAGGAGCCACACTTCCACTTCCAGCTTTTTGCTGGTTAATTGGAGATAAAAGTCATAGATCTGTCTGCCCTGGGCTGACTTCAAACTTTGATCCTCAAATCTCAGCTGCCTGAGTAGCTAGGATTATAAGCATGAGCCACTGCACCTAGTGGCATGGTTATTTTTAAAGTGAAATCTTCCAAAGATTATTCTGGAAGACAACAATTATTGTTGAATCTGGGGCTTCATAGGGCCAAGCCTCAGACAGGCCAGAAAAGCAAAAGCAGTCACTTCAGCCGCCTGAAGGGCCAAAAGACAATGTTGACATTTATCATACCATGAATGTTGAATAACTGGCTCATTTTGAGTGAGTTCAAGCTTTCTCTGCTCTTTCTCATCTGGTAACTCTCAAACAAATCAGCCAGTAACTATTTAACCATCCATCTATTCCTCCCATAGACAACAGAATGAAGCCCAGGAGAAAATTCTATCCCCTAGTATGTATGCCTCCATCCCTCCTTCTTGACATGGTCTTAAATTTTGAAAAAAAAAAAATAAAGAAGGTGTGAATGTCTGTAAGTTAGAAACATATGATTTGTATAGAATTCACATTGAAAAAAATCCTTACAAGCCGAGACTCCCTTATCTCAAATGCTTGGTACAAGAAGCACTTCAGATTTCAGATTTGTTTTTGCAGTTCAAAATATTTGCATAGACCTAATAAGGTATCTTGGGCATGAATCCCAAACCTCAGTATGAAATCCATTTGATGTTTCGTGTATATTACTTTTATACATAGCCTGAAGGTAATTTTATACTGTGTTTTTACTAATTTTGTGCATGAAAGAAAGTTTCACGGTGTGGGATTTTCCATGTCTGATATAATCTGGGAGCTCAGAGAGGTTCAGAATTTTGAAGCATTCCAGATTTTGGATTTAGATTTATCAACCTGTAATGCCAAAGCATTTAACCCCATAAGTGGAAAAAAAGAGCTTGGTAACTTAAGTTAATACATATCACAATCAAACAATAAATGTGAAAAATAAATTTGAACACTACCTAATTACTAGGAGAAAAATGACCGAAACAAGGAGACATTTCTTAGCATGCCCCATGATGCATGGTTTTCATGCATTGGTATAAAATAAATAGAGATAAAAATTGAACTGGTACAAGTGGCTCATAATTGTAATCCTAGCTCCTCAGAAGGCTGAAATCTGAGGATCATGATTCAAAGCCAGCCTGAGCAGATAAATCCAAAAGATTCTTACCTTTAATTAACTACCAAACAGCCAGAATTCAAGTGGCAGAATGTCAGCCTTGATTAAAAAAGCCTTTAAAGACAGTTCCCAGACCCTGAGTTCAAGCCCTAATACGGGCACAAAAACAAAAATAAAATAACCGCAAGAACAACAAAAATGTATATGATGTAGTTAGGATTAATCAGGAAAGCGCAGTGACTTGAACAAAATAATTTTTTTGGATGTGTGGGTGGGATTCTAGGGATGGAACCCAGAACCCCACATAACTTAGACAAGCACTCTACCCCTGGGCCACCCCGGCCCAAGGACAGAACAAATCTTAATGGTGACAGTTGCTGCTATTGGTGTTGCCATTTGCTGAGAACACCACTTAACCATGGCACCACTGAGAATTTCACTTCTACAGGGGCAGAGTCTATACCAGCTCTCAACACCGCAGTGAGGAGGGAGGAGCTGAGCAGGTATAAAGCATCATGGAGGGCCCCTGATAGAAACTATTTCTGAAAACTACTGAGAGTTATGTAAGTGCGAGCAACTATTAACCATGTAATTCTATGACTGAGAATCCAGAGATCCAATGTATATATGGCTGTACTTGAAAGACCTTCAGAACAATGAAGCCTATGGCCAGTGCTAGAAGACTAAGACCTGGTCCAAAGTTTGAACTAAGTACTTCCAAAGCTGAATTGTGTCGATGCTTTTATCAAACACTTTCATCGAGTGCTGGTGGCTCATTTCTGTAATCCTAGTTACTCAGGAGGCTGAGATCTGATGATCACTGTTCAAAGCCAGCCAGGACAGGAAAATCTGTGAGACTCGTATCTTCGATTAAACACCAAAAAACCAGAAGTGGAGCTGTGGCTCAAGTGGTAGAGTGATAGCCTTGGATGAAAAAGCTCAGGCCCAGGTCCTGAGTTCAAGCCCTAGGACCAGCACAAAAAGAGAAGAAAGAAAGAAAAGAAAGAAAGATAAGATAAGAAAGAAAGAAAAAAAGAAAATAAGCAAGCAACCGGGAGAAGGAAGGAAGGAAGGAAGGAAGGAAGGAAAAAAGGAAGGGAGGGAGGAAGAAAAGAAAGGAGGAAGGAAGGAAACTAAAGGTGAAAGTCTACAAATATAGGAAGTGGTGGAGACCAAATGTAATTCAATGGAGATTCAAATGTAATTGATAGAGCCAGGTGCTGGTGGCTCACACCTGTAATCCTAGCTACTCAGGAGGCTGAGATCTGAGGATCATGCTTTGAAGCCAGTCTGAGCAGAAAAATCTGCAAGATTCTTATCACAAATTAATCAGCAAAAAGCCTGAAGGTTCAAGAGGTAGCGGGCTAGCCTTGAGTGAAAAAGCTAACGGACATAAACTATACAGGTCTCTAGGCAGTCACACACAGTGAGACTAAAGGAGGAATCTCTTCGAGGAGGACCAGAAAGGCACAATGCCTATGTGCATCTAATCACACAAAATAATATTTATCACAATGAACTCCAGGAAACAAAAACAAGAGATTCCTTTTTTTTCTTTTTTGCTGTATTTGTTTTCCTTTCTTTTTGTTCTATGTGTCCGTTTATATGTCTTTGTGAGTGGGAGAGGAGACACAGAAATGGAGGGACAAAGAGTGAACAAATGCAGCAACGGTACTCACTGGACACTATGTTGAAAATGAACTATACAACTTGTTGGTGGGATGGGAGGGAAAAACTGGGAAAAGAGCATGGGTAGGGATGACATTTTCCAAAAGAAACATTCTCAGTACCTGATTTATGTACCTATAACCTCTCTGTACTTCACTTTTATAATAACAATAATTTTTGAAGCTAGAGGACAATGTCCAGGCCCTGAGTTCAAGACCCAGTAGTGGCAGAGGAAATAAAAACAAAATATAAAGGGGCTGAGGGCCTGGCGCCGGTGATAGAACACCATCCTGTTTTGAGTTCAAGTACTAGATCTGGAAAAAAAAATATTTAAGAAAGTAAAATTTAAAAAAAAAACCACAGTTGTATAAGTTTTAATTTTAGAAGAAAGTGTGGATAGAGTCCAAAGTGACTTTTTATATCCTTTGGAGTTTCGTCAGAATAAGCAGGCTCATTCTTTTAAAATCTCCTCATGTTTAGACCCATTCAAACCAACCGCAGAGTGCCTAAAACCTCCTGTCTTACAAGCTCCTCCGTCTCATAGAACTGCTACTGGCTGGCTGTTCTCTTGAAGCCCAGGTTGTCAAAACTTCAGTTGAAAAGGTTTATGATGTGTGAATAAACTAGAATAGAATGCAATTTTGTTTAAGAATCTTACTTTTCTTTCCTTTTTTTTTTTCCCCCGACCTAGATTTGAACTCAGTATGCGTTCACTCATTGGCTGGTGCTTTACCAAGTGAACCATGCCTCCAACCCCTTACATTTCAATGCAAACATTTTCATCAGATAAAGGACGAGGAATAGGCCGGGTGCCAGTGGCTTATGCCTATAATTCTTGCTACTCAAGAGGCTGAGATCTGAGAATCAAGGTGTGTAGCCATCCCACGCAGAGGAGTCTGTGAGACTCTCATCTCCATTGAACTCTCAACAAGCTGGAAGCAGAGCTGTGACTCAAGTGAAAAAGTTAAGGGACAGTGCTCAGGTCCTGTGTTTAAGCCCCCGTATAATACACACACACATTAAAAAAAAGAAAGGAAGGAAGGAAGTCATGGAAAGAAATTCTGCAGTCACCACGGGGTTTGTTTCTCTTTAGCTTCAAGTTTTCTTTACAGTCTAGGATCATTCCACAGCCAGCTGCCAGGAAACAAAGACCCCAAACTGCTCTGCGGCCCTCTGCTCCCCTAAGCAGCTGAGCATTCATTTATTTGGAGTGTACCTTCAGTCAACGTGACGGTTCTTATTCAACCTGAAGTGAATATCAGTAAAACATGTTGGCCATTTCCAGAAATTTAAGTGCTTCACTTTAACTTCGATTAATCAGCTTTAATAGGACTTAGGAGTTGATGGCATGAAAGAGGCACAGTTTCGTTATTGTTTTTTGTTTTTTGCTTTTTCTCCTTGGTGCAGGTCCTGGGGCATGAGCTTTAGGCTGGTGCTGTCCCTGAGCTTTTTTGCTCAAGGCTAGCACTCTACCACTTCAGGCTTTTTGGTGGTTAATTGGAGTTAAGAGTCTCACAGACTTTCCTGCCTGGGCTGGCTTTGAACAGTTATCCTCAGATCTTAGCCTCAAAAGTAGCTAAGATTGCTGGCATGAGCCACCAATGCCTGACAGTGCAGAACTTTTCATTGACATACTGATCACTGATTTTTCAGATCAGCCCTGGGGTTTGAACACAGGGCCTAAGCACTGTCCCTTAGCTTTTACCTCTCAAGCCTGGTGCTCTATTACTGGAGCCATAGCTCCTATTCAAGTTTTTGGTGGTTAATTGAAGGTAAGAGTCTCATGGACTTTCCTACATGAGCTGCTTTAAACCATGATCCTCAGATCCTAACCTCCTGTACCTAGACTTACAGGCATGAACCACTGGCACATGGCCTGTACTGGTAATTTCCAAGGGCAAAATTAGTCCAGAGAGAATGAGCTAAACTAAGTGTGGCTTCAGAATTGTAAATAAATGAAAAATGAGAATACAATATTCTTCCTGAGTTCCAATATGCTCTAAATTCCAGTAACATTAATATATCAAGGAGAGTATGCAGCATTGCTTGACTGGATTTTCTATTCTAAAATACATGTATGCAATAAACCTCAGAATCATTTTATTCATTAGTCATCCAAATTAAGCTTCTGTCTTGTTAGAAACCTCTTATTAGGCCCTGATGGCTCATGCCTGTAATCCTAGCTACTCTAGAAGTTGAGATCTGAGAACTGAGCTTCCAAACCAGCCCTGGCAGAAAAGTCCTCGAGACTGTGATCTCCAATTAACTGGCAAAAGCTGGAAGTAGATGTGTAGCTTCAGGAGTAGAACACCAACTTTGAATGAAAAAGCGATGGAAGCATGTGAGTTCAAGCCCCAGTGTTGAAACAAAAACAAAATAAAATCAAAACCAAAAACCTTTTATTGCTAGCTAAATAATACCAATGACCCTTATTCAACTGTGCTAACAGGAGCCGTTCTTTACATTCTACTTGCTAGTGCTCTAGAACCTTCATGTGTCCTTAATTCTCAAGTTCATACTCTAGCTTGGACTCCACTGTTAGCTCAAGGAAACAAACAACTTTCACAGTTGTCCCAGAATATATTGAGGCAACATGGAAAAAAATAACGTAGACAGAAGAAGACATTTTCATTGATTAAAAAGTAAAGGACTTACACTGAAGGTATTGAGGCTAAATCATTTGCTTTTACAGCGCATTCCTGCATTTTATGATATTTTCAGAACAACTTAATAGATATACAAAAAATCTTTTTAAAGTTATCCGTATCTAGGAATATGTCAGAAATGGCCTTCCACATTAGGACTTCTTACCTCTCTGGGTACATGACTTTTGAAGGGGGGGGGGGCGAGTTGTGCCAGTTCTGGAGTTTGAACTCAGGGCCTGGGTGCTGTTCCTTTTTCACCCTTGAGGTTGATGCTCTTACCACTTCTCTCATAGCTCTACTTCCAGCTTTCTGCTGCTTAATTGGAGATAAGAACCTCAAGGATTCTTCTACCAAAGCTGACTTTGAATCTCAATCCTTAGATCTCAGCTTCCTGAGTAGCTAGTATTACAGGTACCTGGCTAGATACATATCTTTAAATTCAGTAACAAGTGCTTGAAGTAAAAGATGTATTTTAAAACTACACGAAAGCATCAATGGCAAAAATGCCTAAGGAGAAATTCTTCCTCAGAAAATATTTGAAACAAATCCGGAGCTAAGGCAATATAATCCTCCTTTTTGCATTTAAGTATTTAGTCATGAAATAACAACACTGAAGTAAATTCTGTTTACATAAGTCTTGTTGAACAATATCTGCTTCCTGTTTATATAAAGAAATTGTATTGTAGTCAAACAGCCTGTCATTGGAATAAAAACTTCACCTTTATAAATACATGGAGTTAAGTGTTTTACTTAAAGGAATAGTGAGAATGCTTATTTTGTTTGCAAACAAAATGCTGGTACAAGAGGGACTTTTTTTTTTTTTACAGTGATGTAGGTAATCCTGATGATTTTTTTAACCACCATCAAAAGAGATCACAGGATTTTGTTTCTGCCAAAGTTGATCTCCAAGAATATATTAACTAAAATTCTTTTTCTCTAAAGTTATTGTAAGATGCACTGTACTAAAAACTGATTTGTGCTGGGTGCCGGTGGCTCACACCTGTAATCCTAGCTACTCAGGAGGCTGAGATCTGAGGTTCTTGGTTCAAAGCCAGCCTGGGCAGGAAAGTCAGTAAAACTCTTATCTCCAATAAACCACTCAGAAAACTGGAAGTGGCACTGTGGCTCAAGAGGTAGAACACTAGCCTTGAGCTGAAGAGCTGAGGGACAGCGCTCAGGCCCAGAGTTTAAGTCCCTTGACCAACCGAAAACAACAACAACAACAAGAAGAAGAAGTTATTTGTTAAGCAGGTGCTGGTGGCTCATTCCTGTAAATCCTAGCTATTCAGGAAGCCGAGATCTGACGATCACAGTTTAGACAGGTGGGGCAGGGAAGGCTCTTATTTCCAGCAAATTAACCAGCAAAAGCTGAAAGTGGAGAATGTTGCTCAAGTGGTAGAGCACCAGCCTTGAGTGGAAAAAGTAAGGGATAGTGCCTAAGCCCTGAGTTCAAGCCCCAGTATGGACACAGAACAACAATTGAGACCCTTTTGTTCAACTACTTACAATAAACATAAAAAATTATTGTTATTGCAGGCTCTATTTAGTAATGCTCTAGCAAATACTGTGGGCATTTCTGTCTTTTCTTTCTGCATGGTTGGAGTATGGTTCTTACAGATAACTCTCATCGTTATTTTTTTACCCTCTGGGCTTCAATGCTGCAGTGGGGCCTGCAGATGCATGCTCCAAAGACCAGTATTTCAGGGTATGTCAATTTGGGGCACTGGTGAAGGAGGGGAATGCTTCCCTACCATAGTAAGCAGGTATGATGCAGATATTTCTATACTTATATTTAGATATTCACAGATGTTTGCCTGACACGCAGATTTCCCATTTACAAGATCCCTGGATAAGAGTATGCATTGTCAAATCCTTCTTCCAGCAAGATTGGGGGGCGGGGGGAAAGAATCCACACTCTGGTCCCTTCAGCCACTGGGGTCAGAATTCTGTATGTCCAATGTCCCCTTCCCTGCTGCCCCTGGCTGACACCCCCCTTCCCGGGGTCCCTTGACCCCTGTTCCTCCCCTGCACGTGTGCAGCCCCTATCTGAGCGCTCTCCCTCCGTTAGGCATCTGCCGCCTCTTTTGGGGGGAGTGTCCCACCTACCCCTCAGGATCCGCCGGAAGGAGAGGGGCACCTACCTTCTTAATCAACTAGTCCATATCTCTCTGACCGGCCCTGCAGGCTCCGGCTGGAGTTGGAGCATCCGTGACGCGCGGATCGGGGTTCAGGGCACAGGGACCGGGACGCAGGATGCAGCTCCTGCCAGTGTGTGCACGCTGAACACCTCCAGAGCAGCGGGCTCCCGCTCTGCAAGTAGCCGGGCAACCGCGGCCGCCCCACCCTGCGCCCCTCCTCGCCACGCCCTCAGACTAAGCCACGCCCCCCAGGGGCGGTGCCACTCCTCTCGGAGTCTCCCCTACCAATCAGCCATGTCCCTCTCCAGCCGCTCCCCACCCCAGTCCAAGCCACGCCCAGGGGCGGCTCTACCCTCTAGGAGTCCCTCCTACCAATCAGCCACATCCCTCTCCAGCCACGCCCCCTCGCTGGCGCCAAAAGCTCAGCTGGTTAGGGGCTGTGGGTACAGCTCTGGGCTGAATAAATGTGGGTTGGAGGTGTATTGGGGATGGGAAAGCCAAGACTCCCCCTTCCCCCAAGAGCTCTCGGTTGAATTAGGGGAGAAGGAAGGGAGTCTTCCTTTGCATCTCAGCTTGGGACGATCCAGGTCGTGATACCCTGCTGACTGGTGGTGACATCACACCACTGATTCATGGCTGCATACTTTCCAACAGGTACCCTTCCAGGGCCTGCTCACTAGATCGTCACTCGTGATGAGTAGAGGTGCATCCTCTTGCCAGGCAGTGAGATGTCCACCTCTTAATATGTCCAAGACCAGCTCAGTCCAGTTGTGAGGGTTGCCTCTGTGCCCGGCAGGAGAAAGTAGGCAACAGGGTATGGCTTCACTTTTACTGGGTGATGTCTGGTTATTAATGTGTGTGTGTTTGTGTGTGTGTGTGTGTGTGTGTGTGTGTGTGTGTGTGTGTTGGTACTGGGGCTTGGACTTAGGCCCTCCACCAAAAATCACCCGGCTTTTGCATTCAAAACTGGAGCTCTACCACTTGAGCCACAGGTCCATTTACAGCTGTTTGTTAATTAGAGAGAAACAGACTTCCCTGCCTAGGCTGCCTAGTCTGGCTTTGAACTGTGATCTCAGTTCTCAGATCTCAGCCTTCTGAGGAGATAGGATTTATAGGCATGATCAATAGCTGGCTAGATTATTTATATTTCTGAGCTTCTGTTTGTGTCTTTGTGAAGCTGAGCTAACAATGTCATTTTGTTAAAGGGGATGAAAGAACCATGAATGTAATATATATGTATGTATATGCACAGATGTATATGTATATATTTACGCACATGTATATTTATGTATGTCTATGTATAGATTATATATTGTGTAAGTGTGCATGTTTGTACATATACACATGTGTATACATATATGTATGTGAATATGCATACATATATGTGTGTGTATACATACACATACACATATGGGCATATATCCATTTTCAACAGTAGAAATGTAAGCAGCTGTTCTGTCTGTTCAGTGAATAGGTAAACAGATAAGAATCGTTCACACCCAAGATGCTAGCAGAACTGATCACAAAAGATGCTAGTGGAACTGATCACAAAAGATACAGGCATTTCTCATGGACTGGTTTTGCCTTCCTAATTCACTACACTTCTCTTTTAGTAGGCCTGAGCTGCTTTTCCTAAATCCCAGTCCATTATAGTCCCTCAATAAACACTTGGTGAGTTACCAAATGAATGGATGAATAAGTTGTACTTCTTAATTGCCCCCCAAACTCAATGTAGTGCTTGTTCTCAGGAGTGATGAAGAAATCCTCCACAATATTATTATTCCTAAGCATCACCAAGTTGTATATTTGAAATCTAACATATTCAGAATATGACTCATGACAGTAATGATTTACCAATGATATGTAAGATGTTACTTGGCTCTCAAGGATAGAGTATCTTGCCAGGCGGTGTTGGATTATAACTATAATCCTGTCTCTCCAGGAGGCTGAGACGTGAGGATCATAGTTTTAAACCAGACAGGGCAGGAAACTGTGAGGCTTTAATTTGTTATTCATCAAAATGCTGAAAGTGGAGCTGTGGTTCAAGTGGTAAAGCAACAGCCTTGAGTGAAATAAGCTAAAGGACAGCTCCCAGGTTTTAAATGTAAGCCCTAGTACTGGCTCACACACACAAAAAGTACCTTCCTCTGTCCTATCTATCCATGATGTAATACTCCTGACACACAGTGTGCATAACAAACTTGCTCATCCCACATGAGGCCTAACTGATCCTTCTATTATGTTTCTTTTCCCAACTAGACCTTGAAATTCTAAAGACTTCTTTTTTGTGTGTCCTGGTCCTAGGGCTTGAACTCAGGGTCTGGGTACTGTCCCTTAGCTTTTTCATCAAGGCTGGTGCTCTGTCATTTGTGTCATACCTCTACTCTGGCCTTTTGCTGGTTGGAGAGGAGAGTCTCATGGACTTTCCTGCCCAGGTGAGTTCTGAGCCTTCATCTTCAGATCTCAGCCTCCTGAGTAGCTAAGATTACAGGTGAGCCCAACCAACTGCACCTGCCTTCTCTGAAGACTTCTTAGTTCTTGATATCACAGAGCGTAATACACGTAGTACCTAGTTTGTCCTTTTTACAGGGGAGGGGCTGGGCACTGTCTCTGAGCTGCCTTTTACTCAAGGCTAGCACCAATCACTAAAGCCACAACTCCACTTTGGGCTTTTTGGTAGTTTTTTTGTTTTTGTTTTAAAGAAAAGTCTCATCAACTTTCCTGCCTGGGCTGCCTTCAAAGAGTGATCCTCAGATCTCAGCCTCCTTCCTGAGTACCTAGGATTACAGACATGAGCTGCTGGCTGCTGGTGCCTGGCCAGTTCATCCTTAATAAGTGCAGTTATTGCCTCTTCCTGTGCAAGTTCTCAGGCATTCATTTTCTTTTCATCTTTTTTTTTTTTTGTCGGTTATGGGGCCTGAACTCTGGGCCTGGGCGCTGTCCCTCAGCTCTTCAGCTCAAGGCTATCACTCTACCACTTGAGCCACACTTCCAGCTCTTTTCTGCTTATGTGGTGCTGAGGAATCGTACCCAGGGCCTCATGCCTGCAAGGCAAGCACTCTGCCACTGAGCCACCTACCCAGCCCTCTTCTTTTCCTCTTGATAGCCACCCTTCCATCACAGTACAGGTTCCTTCCTGCCCTGCCCAAGAACCTTGCCACAGCCCTCTATCCTGTCACCTTCCTTTCCTGGCTGCCACTGTTTGGTAATCAGATTTCCGGGAAGGTCTCCCTTGGGAAGAATGGCTACCATATTCCTTGGATTCTCATTCAAAGATTTCCACATTTGGTCTCCAGCCTCACTTTCAGCCTTATCTTTCTCTCCTTTAGACGCCATGCTTTATCTTTTGCCCAAGCTAGTCTGCTTGCCTCACATCATATGTACTCTGAACTTACTATTCTTTGGTTCTAGAAGCTTCCTTTCTGCTCACCTCTCTTACTCCTGTCTCCTATTTCAGGACCACCTCAAAAGCTTTGACTCTCACCATTTCCCCTTAATTCTGGGTTGCCATTCTTCTCTTTTCAAGTTCATAATAACAATTCAGCCTTCTGTCAAGAATACCTGTGAAGATGAGCTGAAAACTCAAAAACTATGCACATATGACCATATAAGATGATGTTGAGTGAAATGAACCCCAAAATATGGACACAGAGATCTGTCTTTGTTGTTGTTGTTTTAAATGTACTATGATTTTTTTTCCTTTGTATGTTCTTCCCCCCATGGTATAGTCCCTGCTGTCACTGTACTTGATTTGGTGCCCTGCATCTTGTATATACATTTGTCTAATCTGGGGAGGGAAAGGGGAATAACAAAACTCTGAAACAAGGACATAGGATGACCCATTGCAACAATGATACCCACAGGACAGCATATTGGAAATGAACTTTACAACCTCGGGCGGGGATGGGGGTATGGAGGAGTATGGGAGGCGGGGGAGGGAAGGCATAGTGGGACAGCAACAAGGGAAGGAGTAACAATATTAGACAAGTAATGTGCTCATTACCTTACTCATGTAACTGTAACCCCTCTGTACAGCATCTTTATGATAAATAAAATTTAAAAAAAGAATACCTGTGGACTTAACTTTCTTCTGAGAAAATGAGCATCTTTTTCTTTTCTTCTCTTTTCTTTTTTTCCTTTTTTTCTTTCGTGTGTGTGTGTGTGTGTGTGTGTGTGTGTGTGTGTGTGTACGTGCATGCTTGTGCCAGTACTGGGCATTGAACTCAGGGCTTAGGTGCTGTCCTTTAGCTACTTCACTCAAGGATGGAGCTATACCACTTAAGCCACAGCTCCACTTTCAGCTTTTTGGTGGTTCACTGGAGGTAAAAGCCTCATAGATTTTTCCTGCCCAGGATAGTTTGAACCTCGATTCTCTGATCAGGCACTGGCACCCAACTGGAAATGGACATCTTTTGTTCCAACTTGCATTTCTGATAGTCTGAACCTATCAAACATACATTCAATAAATGTTTCCTATTAGACTTCAGTCTGCCCACTCAGGAACTACCTTCTCTGAACTCACCAATCACTCCTATCCTCTCTGACCTTCTTTTGTACTTAGAGACAGCAGTGCTATGTTATTTCATTATTTCCAGAACCATTGTGTGTGGACTTGAAGGGTCAAGTTGTCTTGGGAACTGACTGTGGAGAGAGGCCCTACTGTGAACATGCACAGGTTCTGGCATCAGACTCTGGTGGCACCATGGCATTCCCTAGTTAGATGACCTTGGTTTTCCAAATCTCCTAGTCTCCATGTGTAAAATGAATCGCTTCACTGGTGGCACTTGGGCTACTCCCAGCACATAGTAAGTGTTTAGTAAATAGTACCACACTCAATAGTAGTATATTGGTGGGGGTTTTTTTGTTGTTGTTTTTGACTTGTGCTGGTACTAGAGCTTGAACTCAGGGCCTGAGCATTGACTTTTAGCTTTTCCACTCCAGGCTGGCCCTCTGCCAGGTCTACTTCCAGCTCTGTGGCTAATGGGAAATAAGAGTCCTACAGACTTTTCTATTTTGCTGGGTTTGAATTGTGATCCTCAGCTCT